TTGCCGTGCCTTGGCTGGCGCGTACGGGGTCAAAATTTTATTTTGAAAATTTGGGTAGGTCCGTGGAGTTGTGTAGATCACTGTGGTATATTCATACACCCAAATTGGATAATGTATGAGAAGTTATTAGCTAGTTTTGTATATGTGCTTTAAAATAATATTTTTATAGTTAATTCGCATATAGGTGAGGCCTATCCTGATGACGAGCGTATCCACAGGCGACTCAGGGGCTACGACCCTTCGACATACCAGTGAGTGGGCTTTTGTTTTCAGTATATATCTATATATTTGATATATTTCCCAGAAATGCATTTTTAGTAATGTATGCTTTGAAATAATATGCCAATTGCTTTTATATACTAAATATGCATTTCATGGTTGCATATATATATAAATGTGGTGTTGTGGAGGCACAGGTAAGTGTAGGTAAGTTATGTTTGCTTATGTGAATCATCGATGATGTGATATGTGGTTGAATAATGTTGAGCTCATAAAACTGCACCTAAGGTGATTGTGATTTAGCCAGAGATATGAGGTACATGCCTGTTTATTTACGTCACCTCCCACACTATATGCTCATATTGGATCCAACTTAAGTGCACAGTCTTGTCGTACAGACCTTATTCATGGTTCCGACTCATAGGTAACTAGCGATTTATCGTCCGGCTATTATGAGAGAATAAAGTTGAGCATAATTATATTTCACCCAATCTTGTCGTACAGACCCTCTTTAGTGGTTTCGACTTATGTGCAGTATATTGCCGTATAGGTTACTGTAGTGACTCCGGCCAGATTGACTTTTGAGCTATGAATTTAGCTATACAAACTACCTCAGGGGTTCCGGCTAACATATCATATTTCTATGAAATCATTCTTACCTGGATTGTTTACTTTGTTATATTTTGGCATGGCATACATATGAATATGATTACGTGAAGCATGAATTGAGTTGATATATTTCATATCTAATTATGTATATGCTTATATTCTGATTCTGGGAAAAATTATACATGTTTTACAGCGAGGGGTTAGTATATTGATAAATGAAATGATTTTGTAAAACATTTGTTTTTTTTTTTTGCCCACTCACGTTTTCTGTTTTGCGCCCCTCCAGGTTCTAAGTAAGCTTGATGTTGGTGGCTCGGGATTGTCAGTTGTTCTAACCTATTTGATTAATAGTAGGACATTCCTAGTACTATGTAACTAGTACTTGTCCTACTGGACTGCACCTAGACTTATTATGCTCTGATTAGGAGTGTTTACTGTTGTAACTAACTTCTATCACCTTCTGTTTAGTAGTGCACTCTAGTAATTTAGTTCTTAATTATTCATATAATTCTTATCTTTATTGCTTCCGCACTGTGCACATGGCTACGTCACTCTCACGTGCCGGCCAGCATGCCTTGATCTCGATCAGGGTATGTCAACAGCTCTTCCCATATATGTGTCGAACCCGTACCGCAGCTCTTTTCTTCTTGTCTATCAACAAAAAATAATTTCATAATACTAAAGCTAAATAAAATCTTTATACAAAATGCAAAAATTTCAACGCAAACCTTTTCCAGAACCTTCTCCATCTGTTGCCTTTAATGAACATGCATTTTTGTCGCCCATTGTACCAACACTCAAAGAACGAACTGATTATAATTGTCATAATTGCAAAGTGTTTTTGAAACGAAAAACGCTTATTATAGGAAGGTTAGGGACTTTGCGCAATGAAATGTTTGTCGCGCAAACACATGCAATAAATACCTTATTTATTTCTCTAATTCAAATGCACCAAATACGTTGACCTATAAATGATGACCCTTGCACGATGAAGCATTTGTCGCACAAGACTTTGCATAACAACATATTTGTTGTGCAAAGGTTTTAGCGACGAACTTATTGTAATAATAAGATTGACGTAAACATAGATATCTATGTTTACGTAAACTTTATAATTACCAACAAATTTTCAGTTATAATATGTATTCTAAAAATAATTACTACCTTAAATAAATTGATATTATATTCCGTTCAATTAATACATTAAATAATTAATACCTTAAATAAATTGATATTATATTTCATTTCATTCACTTAATACACTAAATCATTAATACCTTAAATAAATTGTATTATATTCCATTCAATTAATACCTTAAATAAATTAGTATTATATTCCATTCAATTAATACCTTAAATAAATTGATATTATACTCCATTCAATTATTTAAATAACCAAACATTAATTAAAACATAATTAAGTCGAAATACTTAACTTATAAAAAGTACCTTAAATTTAAATATTGTCATACAAAACATAAATTTAAAACTACTATTTCGATGGTCCTGGTCCATTCTGCAAGACATCATAACGCCACCTATTGTAACCTCCTTCCAATGCATCCTCCATCAACTTCTTCAACAGTTCTTTCGGCTCATCATCAAGAGTATACTTACACTGTTACACGTATATGCAAATAACTAATTCTAACATATAACAACAAATTTCACAAAATTAATTATTGATCCATCAATAGTATACTTACTAATAATTCATCCATCACAGCCTTCTTCGCATTCTCTAGCACATCTTTCCAAGAACGCCATTCCGTAGTCAGACAACTGTTCCCCATGGCTACAGCAATTGCATGCGTGAACTGAAAATGCTGCATCAAATCATTCAGGTCGGCATCAGTCACATTATCATCCTTGTTCTTATCCTCCATCTCAACACAAACAGAATTGTGAAGAAAAAAGAGAAGAGAATGGCATATTTATGGGAAGGATAAGGCCTAAGGCCTTTGCGCGACGAAGTCTTTGTCGCGCAAAAACCTCACTAAATAGTTTCAGATTCTGTTGATTCACATGCATTGAATGCTCTGAAAACTGACTATAACTTACGTGACGAAGCCTTTGTCGCGCAAATGTTCCTCGGTTTCCAAAGTGCTAAATGTTCTGCCCAAGAAAATGAACAAGCTTTACGCGACAAAGCCTTTGTCGCACAAAGATACAACAAGCTTTGCGCAACGAACCCTTTGTTGCTCAAAGATGTAGAGGAAAAATCTTCGTTGCAGGTTAGGTTTCTCGCCAAAAACAAAAACAAAACCAAAAAAAAAAAAAACCCTAAGTTTTTCTTGTTAGCTTTGCACAACGAACATGTTTTTTGTCATCGTGCAAAAGGCTTTGCACGACTAAGTGCTTCTTCACGCAAACTTCACTATCTTTGCGAATGAAGGTCTGTTCCTTGTTGCGCAAGGTACCATTGCACGACGAAATTTGTTTTGTCTGTCGTGCAAGTAGTTTTTTGTACTAATGTATCTTCCTCTGGGATCAAAACCCAATTCTTGTTTCCACCACCAAATTTGTCCTAATTTCTTGCTTCCTTTGGGATCCACTACCATGGGCTGAGTCCGCACAAAATCAGTGAATAAATTTTTCCCCCGGGTGATCGATCGCTGCTACTGGTGCATGGCCCTTGACTTCACACCAACAACAAGATCCTCGAGAAAGTTGCCATCATCCCCTCTAAGCACATCCACAACATTTCTCTAAAGCGGATTCAACATGGCACCGATGAGATCTCCATCGACAAAGGAGACCCTCGTGTGCCATGTCCCCTGAACATGAAATAGACACTGCAACTTGTTGGTGAAGATTGAGACTCCAACTTGTTGGCGAAGATAAAGACGCCAACACTGTAAAAGCACATTAACGTAAAAGCACAAAACATGAAATAGACACTGCAACGAAGTGTTTGAATTCACAGAACAAGAAATAGACACTGCATTCTGAATCCACAAACCTATTTGAATCTCAATGCACAATCATACAACAGGGAACAAGCACTGCAATGAAGTGTCTGAATCCACATAGCCGAAACAAACACTGCGTTACAGTGTCTGAATCCACAAACCTATTTGAATCCGAATGCACAATCACATAACAAGAAACAAACACTTCATTGAAGTATCTGAATCCACAAACCTATTTGAATCTAAATGCACAATCATAGAACATAAAACAGAAACTGTGTTGCAGTGTTCGAAAAATGGAGGTTGAAAGTGATGGGAGGTAGGAGAGGTTGAAGTAATGGAGGTTGAAGGTGGTGGGAGGCGGGGAGGTTGAAGTCTAAAGGTGGTGGGAGGCGCGATTTACAATGAAGGAGATGGAAAGGTTTTGTGTTTTAAATGGTAATGCATCATTTGTAATTTTAATTTGATTGAGGTGTTTTAATGTATCTTAAAGTCTCGTTAACCTATTTATAATTCCAATAAATTTGATTGACCTATTGTTAATATCATAACTTTTAATTGATTTTATACAAAATCACCCAAAATTTTATTATATATCGTATAAGTGAGTTATATCAATCATGTTTTTTTTTTAAATAGTATATCACATGATTTTATTCCTGATACCCATAAAAGTTTCTCCACAAAGTGTTTACCCATAAAAAATCTAGTTGCGAATTTGGTGCTAATTTGCGATCCATACTCTAGGATTTTGATCCCATCCAGATCCAAATTGTGGGGATCTAGGGATCCTCACATCTTAATCGTTTATCGTACATCGTGTGGTCAGTAAGACAGGATTAAGAGATGTAATATCTTTGTATCCAAATTTTTAGCCTAAACTTAAGAGATCACCGACCCAATATCCAATCCTAATCTTATGCTTCACAACCAAGTCACCGGTTCTTACCATTATATATATATATATATATATATATATATATATATATATATATATATATATATATATATCAGTTACCTTCTTCAGAGCAAAGACATACCAAAACCTTGAGAGCTTTCCATATTCTCTCCAAAATTTCTTAACAATATTCTAGGGTTTGCCATTATTAGTTTCCATCCCCCTAGGGTTTGCCATATTCTCGCCAAGATTGCACAATAATATTCTAGGGTTTGCCAATAGTTTCCTTCCCTCTAGGGTTTGCCATTCGTTCTCGTTCCATCTAGGGTTTTCCATTAATATCACAAGTACTATTACTAACAATGGTTAAGAGTCCTGATAATAAGATCACAGACATAGGTACTACTAATGGGAAAAAGGAGAGCAAAGGTCGAAGAAGGGTTGAAATCAAGAGAGTTGAAGACAAGAACAAGCGTCACGTGACCTTCTCCAAGCGCAAAAGGGGTCTCTTCAACAAAGCCGCGGAGCTCAGCGTTTTTACTGGTGCAGAGACGGTTGCCATTGTCGTGTCAAGCAATGGCAAGGTTTTCTGCTTCGGAAGCCCCTCACCTGACACCGTCATCAAGCGCTACCTTAGTGACAATACCTTCTTACTACCTGCAGGTCAACCAGATAATCATCTCCAAAACAACAACATTCACCATTCGAGTAATAAGAAACAAATAAAGGATTATGTGGAAGCTTCGACACGCTTAAAGGAAGCGAAAGTATTGAAGGGTGGGAAGAAAAATTATAGTAATAATAATGGAGGAGATGGAGGAGATGGAGGAGATGGAGGTTGTTCTTATGGGTGGTGGGAGAGGCCAATTGGGATGATGACTAGTTTGGAAGAGTTGGAAGAGTACAGGGATGCTTTGTACAAATTGAAACACAATGTGGAGGTTCGAACGAATCAGATGATCCGGGAAACTAGTCCTTCCACTCACTTTTCCCCGCTTTTGTTTATGGATGATATCTGGAATTCTCCTGAATTAAGCCATGGTCAAGGGTGCATGGCACCAGAATTTAATTTCTTCATATGATATCGATGTTAAGAGGTCGCACTTGGTGCGATGGCAAGTGCCTTCGCCCATGAGCGGTAGGTCTCGGGTTCGAGACTTGGGAGCAGCCTCTCCATAAATGGGGGTAAGGCTAGCCGACATTCACCTCTCCCAGACCCTGCGTAAAGCGGGAGCCTTGTGCACTGGGTATGACCTTTTTTTTATATGATATCAATGTTAATAAGTATGATTGGAACGGAGTTACTTATCTTTTGTAATCGTCATGGCATTTGATGAAGGGTTTTAGCTGGATAGGGTTGATGACTGAACAGGTTATATATATGGTTATCATCAAGAAGTTTTTTTTTTTTTCTTTTGTCAAAAGATAGACTTTATTTATATATGGCTATCATCAGCTAGTCTTATGATGTGAACGTATATATAGTTAGTTTATTAGTTCTTTAAATTAATTAGTCATATATGCATGCTACTTGGTATGAGGTTTGGGATGCTTTATGCATGTTGTACTTCTTTTATCTGGAATTTATCTGAAAATTAAACATATATGAATGGATCTACTTACTTTTTCTATTTTCTTTTCTTTTGTCCGTTTTATGTGATTGTTGATTCTTGCATACAATGAATATTTGTTGCTTATTTCTTAGACTGATAGGTAGGGGGTCCACGGGAAAGGTATGGGAGTTCGATCCCACTTAAATCTGAGTTTTGGGAAGGTTGACAGGTAATGGCACCTAGGTGACGGTTCAGTGAAGCTCGCCGGAGGTGTGGTGGTGATGGCGGGTCTTTGTATTTACAGAGGGAGAAAGAAAGTGAAGAAAAAGTTAGATGGGAGAGAGTGAAGAGTGTTTGAAAGAAAAATGAGAGAAAGAGAGTGTGCTCCAGAAAGAAGAGGACACAAGAGTGATGGAAGGAATGGTGTGGGTCCCATTGGCTCACAAAACAAAGCCATAAATGACAAAACTGAAAAATAACTTCGAAAGCGTGAAATTATTAAAACATCCTTCACATTCGTAGTTTCGTAAAATTTTAACTATAGCTTCGATTTCGGTTCCGCTTTCGCCCACGCTTTTATTACGACGAGTACTACAAAGATACGTTAAAAGAATATTTTGTACGTCTCACTATACGCTGATCCACAAAGGTCAACACTCTCGCCTCTAGGGGCATTTTCATCAATTTCCTCATTTAAAATTAATAAAATTGTCAAGTTAGGGACGGGTTGTCACATTATACTAGAGACAGATTATCCAAATTTGTTAACAATATTTCATCCATCTGTCCTATGTGCAGATTGCAGTGCTGAAGATGATGACATACCTCATTTATTTTTTAATTGTAATTTTGAGAAGCTAGTGTGGAATTATCAGTCTATCCCTAATAGCATAAGATTAAATCAATCTCTTCATTTTAATGATTGGCATAATGATCTATCTGTTAAAGTTGATGCAGGACTGTGTGATCTTAGTAAAGTTTTACTCATATGTTGGCAAATTTGGAATGAGGAGAATTTAGTGGTGTTCCAGAATAAAGTTCCAAACTCTACATGGATTGTTAAATCTGCCATCAATTTTGGGAGGGATTTCATTGTGGCCAATAGTGTTAGTCCTATGAGTCATAATGGTAGCAATCCCTCCTAGATTTCTTCGATCCGATGGCGCCCTCCAAAGGCTGGTTTTGTTAAACTTAACTTCAATAGCTCGGTGGTGAATCAAGTTATAGTTGCTGGTTTTGTGATTAGGAATGAGAATGAGGAACCTATTGCTGCAAGGACTAGATGTATTGGCCATAACTCTATTTCGGTTACGGAGTGCCTAGCTTTGCAAGATGGTTTGTGGTTGGCTAAGGCCAAAGGCTTATCCCGTATCGTGGTGATTGAGGCTATTAGGGGTCTATAACCGTCCTTGGAGATTGAAGACTATCCTAGAAGGCATTTGCTGGCTTGCAGAGTCGTTTTTGGAGATTTGTTGGAAGCATGTTTTTAGGAAAGCGAACTTTCTGGCTGATGCTATTACTACAGTGGGTTTTTCGGTCTCTGATTTTCATGTGTGGGATAAATCTTTGCCTATTAAAGCATGTCAGGCTTTCTTTTTTTATTGTTCCCAAACTGGTTGCCCTAGAGGCTTCTCTCTCTAATGTAGCCTTTTTCTGTCCAAAAAAAACAAAAAGCAGAATCATTCCCACTCAAAATTAATATGGAGTCCACTATTTTAGTCCTTATATGTAGTCCTCGTATTTGAGAATTCTTTTGAAGTATCCGACGAATCCCTATATATTGGGATACTTTGAGAACTTCAATTCCGGCTCATTGAAAGTCATTTGTCTCTATATTTAGGGATTATACGATTGTAGGGACTCCATTTAAGGTTTCATTGGAGATGCTCTAAGATTTGGAACTCCAAAACGACATCGTATCCTTGTTTGGAAACTCTTTGAATCTTACAAGTTAAAACGGCTCCACTCCAACAAGGGGCTGAATTTGGTGACTCAATTCGGTGCAGCAATCTAACTAGCTTTGGTAAGCTCTCTCTTCCCTACAATTTTAGACTGCAGATACTAATTCCATTCAAATTTATGTGGGTTTTATTTATCCTTATCGTTTTTATTTCTCATAGTTCAAACTTGTGGGTTTATGCTGGATGGGTTTTTCTCAGGAAAAAACCCAGCAGATGGAAAATGGGGTTGCAAGTTCATGGGTTTTGTTTAATGGGTAAATTATGTAAATGGGTTGCTGTATTTTTTTTATTGTTTTGAGCTCGAGTATAATTTTGTTGTTTTGAGCTGCACAGATTAAGAGGATTTATGTTTTATTTGAAATTGATCAGAAACTAGACTTCGAATCGGTAGAATTATACAGCTACTTAATGCTACTAAGCAAGCATTTCAGATGACAAGGACGGTTTTTGGTATATATAAGCGGTGTTTGCAAGTTTTAGGCAACGTTGGAGAATTAGTGTTTCTGGACTGATACGTTTTCGATTTCATTAGTTACATTTGAGATGTCAGTTATTAGTATATTATTCATAAATGTCTATATTCTTTGAATGTTGGAAAACATAGGATCAATTGATATGCAGTGGAACTCCAAATGTGCGTCTACCCTGTGTTCGGATGTAGATTTGGGTTTAGGTGGGAATAACGATACGCTTCACACTTATGTAAATGAAATTTGATAAGATATCTGATATCAATCTGCTGCGAGTAGATCCTGGAACCTTGTGTTTGACTTTGTGAGTTTCAATTGGGTATCCGAACTTGCCTATATGGTGTTTGAGATAATGTCCCACTTAAGTATTGAGACCCTTTTTATCCTATTTTTCTTGCAATGAGTTCATTTTCTAGTCTTGAGATGAGTTGTTTAATATATGTGGATATGCATTTGAATATTTGGAACATGTATATAAATATACATCTCAAGTATTGGAGCCCCCACAGTAAATCTCATCATTTTTAAGCTTTTAGCCAAACAAATCACTTAAAAAATCTTCACACTGAAAATCCTGTCATTTTGAAGTTCTTTGGTACTTCAAAGTACGTAATCCAAGCACACATGCTGAAATCTGGACAGCATTTGGATTTTTTTTGTTAATGTAGGAAGTTTGTGGAAAGAGAAATGTCCAGGTTTCGAGGAATGTTGCAAGCTTCCCTAAATGCAACCAAGAAAGGTAGTATCACCACTTTTATTTGTTCTACGTATCTTTACATGATACAATACAAAATCTCATGCATATAAAATTTGTGTAACTACCTTACATTCTATAAATTTGTCCTTCTATTTACTTTTCATTTTGTCTAGGGGAATCAAAATCTTTCGTGTTTGTTTATACTTTCATGTATTTCTAGATTTGATGAATATAAAAGATTTCACCTACTATGTATGAATATATTTAAGGGCATGTTTAATGCCTGAATAGTACGTTAACACTTAGCACCAAAAGAATTATGATGGCCAAGCATTTCTGCATTTGTGTTCTTCCAGTTATATGGGAATCGGACTTTAAAGTCTACTTCTTGGTTACCTATCAGTAAGTGAGTACAGATGTTTGCTTTTTCCACATTGATAGATGAAGTTATGAAATTTGTGTGAAGTTATCAATATTGAAACAATTTATTTGTATCAACATTCTCCTGATTTTTATATCAAATGCCAATTTTAGCACTTACATGGAATGTTGAAGACCTGGTGCCTCCAACTGAGAGATTTATTTTCAATTTCAATTCGAAGGATGAGCTCAAGAAGTGGCATCTATATTCTGACTCTGAATACGGAGGTATCGATGTACATAACTTTGATATCTCCTTTTATGATTATATAAGAAAAAACTAAAAGCAGTTGGGACTAATGCCTAGCTTTTTAGTCTCCTTGTATATAAATGCAGTTATGATTTCCAATGGAGTTTTTCCCTGTATGAACTTTGCTCTGTATCAGATGCTGGAATTGCAACTTTCTTTCCTGAAATTGTTTTATTGATTTCACTATTTTTTGCCCTTTCATTTTGTATGTCAACATGCCAAGATTCTAATATACATATCCATGCCTATTTCTTTTGCAGGGTTGTCCTCAGCATCTTTAGAAGTTCCAGATAATGAAAATGGGCCCACTGGTAATTGACAGTAAATACCTAATAACATATATTTTATAGTTATTGCTTTAAGCTATTTTTGCTCTGAACGCAAATTTGATGCACAGAAAGTTAATCAGGATGTTTCAAGAAATGAAGGACAAGAAACTGAAATTAGAAACTTGTTTTTTGAATGTATGCTTTTTTGTGATAAAAGTTACAAATTCATGTTTTGATGCTAATAAAGTGAAATGGAGAGTTACCGCTCACTGATAAGGCATGCGACTACCTTAGTGGCAGAGTTGTAGGATAGTATCTTTCATTTGAATGTTAAATTCAGATGAGTAGAGTAATCACTAATCATTATCTTAGCTTATGAAATTGAAAAGTTTGTGAATCCACATTATGCTGCTAGCCTACAATCTTTCATTATATATCACTGTTACCAATATAGTTGATATACGCACTTACCTTCCGAAACCTTTCTCCTTTAAATTTTTAGGAATTTTCTCGGGTAACCTTTCGTTGGATTTCATTGAGGGTGCAAAGCTGAAGATAAACAGGAGTGGCTTTTGTGGAATGCGTTCCAAAAAGGTGAGCTGTGAACATTTTAGGAATATAGATGAAAAGTCTGAAATGAAGACAGAAAAGTTTTGTTAATGATATTTGAATATTTTATTATATTCTGAGAATCTTAACATCTTAAGATGTTCTGGTGTCGAATTATTAGCTAATTCACAGTAATTTTTGTTGTTTGTTTATTTCAATTCTGTGCGTGCATGTGTTTTGTTATAGTTTTTCCCATTTCCGATCGATGAAGATCTTCAGGTTTCCAGTTTTTCTGACTCCAAATGGACATGGAAAATTGTTACACATGTGCAATGACCGTACTGCAAAATTTGGATTCATGCTTACATCATATAAGTACCCTATTCCACCAAAGACAGTTTCGTGGGCATCATTTCGATATTTATTTGTTTCTTCTGCAGTTTGATGGCTACATTGATTTGGACCCATATGATACCATAGCACTGAAAGTTAAAGGAGATGGAAGATGCTACATTTCCACGGTGACTATTTTTGTTTATGATCAAGCAATGAGAGGAGTTGGAATGCAAGGCATGTAATCCAAACTTCTTTGTCTGTTAATTTCTAATTGATGTGGTTTTTGCATGTGCAGATCTATACAGAAAATTGGGTAAATTCACCTGGTCAAGAAGAAGATAATTCGTGGCAGGCTTTTGTTTTTGTACCGAAAGATAACTGGTACATTGCAAAGGCAAGTTCTACTTGCCTCAACCTTTGGTGATTAGAAACGTGATATGATGGACCTGGCCCTCAAAGGGAGCCAAGAATTTCATGTTTCTTGGGTTACATGGAATTCAAACCCGAAAAACATGAAATTCAATTTAATGGAATGTCTTCGAATTTGTCAACTCCGTATTGATGATTTGAGTCCATGACCTCATTTTTGTGCAGTTTATAATTGAATGCATTATCTTTCTCTTTTTGCCTATCTTATCATACGGTACTAGGAAACTCCGAAAACACTGAACCAGTTTTCCATTTGTTGGTGCATCTATAAATTTGTTTAAATGATAGACATAATAGAACTGCATTGTGCTGATTATGTATGATCTTTCAGATTCCTCTTGCTCTGTATCTACCAACATGGAGAGGAAATGTTATCGATGCAGAAATGGAAATGAACCCTTCTCGCGTTGTTGGCATGTCTCTATCAGTCAATGCAGAAGGCGGTCTCCCAGGTGCTAGAACTGGAGCGGGTGATTTCAAGCTCGAAATTGATTGGATCAAGGCTTTACGAACATAATAACCTTGTAAAATATTTCGGAGTAACGAAGGTCGGTTGCATCCAAGTTTTGTGTTTATGGTAACTAAGTATTCAAAGGTTTGACATACCCAGAAAATGAATGCTCCTGAATCCTGATGCTATCTTGCTTAATACACAATTGAAAATTTTTGCAGTTTGCAGGTTATTACACTGATAGCATTTTAAACTTTTTGGAATATTAGATTATCTGTTTTCTCAAGAAGGTCTTGTGTATGGAATATGAACCGTACTTTCCACTCGGACGCAAATTTCCGAGTCTTTTTGTGACACGCAAATTTCAGCGACCAATCGTGAGTTCTATGTTTTGTTGCGTAATCAAATGGACAAAAAGATATCAAGAAGTGGTCAAGGAGCGGGTTTTGCCAAATTCAGTGATCTCAAATAACGAGTTATTATTTCAAAAAATAAATCTAAACTACGGTTAAACTTTAGAGATTAATTTCATTTTGCTTTTATGTGAATTCTTTTAAAGAAAATTACAATATTTTAAATGATTTTTAAGATTTGTATAACTCATCACTTTGGTCATTGAGATTTAAAATCAACATAAGTGGTCTCTAAGATTGTCTATCATCAATCATTTTTATCCTTTTGTGAAACATTATGTTAAATAAGGATCAAAATAATAAAAATACTCTTAATTTAATAAATAATATGCCAAAATGATTTGACAAAAATTGAGGATACTTTTATCATTTTATTTTTATTTAATAGAGATTTTTCATGAAGAACTAAAATGATTAATGGTGAACAATCTCATAAACTAATTCTACCGATTTCAAATATCAAGAATTAAAAATGATGAGTTATGCAAACTCTATTCGACTAAAAAAACATTTAAATATATATCATGAAGAACTGTACCAAAAGTATCCTTAAATTAGATATAAAGTCGGTGATAATTAACTTATTGAAAATGCATGGCCAGCCTTTCATTCAAGATCTACTTTGATTGTTGTAAAGAAAAGCAAAGTAGTCATAATTCACATCTGGAAAATGCATGACAGGCCCTTTCTTGTTTTCTTTTGGGGGAATTTAGAAACAACATATCCGACACAAATATAAAAATCTTTGTCTTTTCCTTCAAGCCATGCTTTTTCTTTTATATACTATTGGTTAGTATAATATATGGAGATTTATTTGTTATTTCGCGTGGATGTTAAGAAGATGAGATAGCGTTTAAATTTAAAATGTAGTTGGTTGAAGATGAATACCTTATTTATCATGGCATTCAATTATTAACAAATATTTTAAGTTAATAGAAATATCACTATACTGTTGTAGGCATAATTTACTGAACAATTATGGAGGCCTTAAAGAGAGAGGGGGTGCGGCAATAGAGAGAAGAATAGAAACATGTGTAATTGTAGGTGTGTGTTATCTCACCCCATTGTGCCTTTATTTATAGTAGTAGGACGGGTAAAACCTTTCCCTTTAGGATTACAACATTTAATAAGTAATCTAATCTTAATAAGAATATAAAATACATTCTCATATTTCCTAGGATTTACACAATCATATTCCTATTCTAAATAGGACTGCAACACTCCCCCTTGAGTGTGTAAATACTCAAGTAAATGGCGCATCAAGTCTTTATTGATGAAGTAAGTACAGTTGATGAAGTAAGTACAGTTGATGAAGTCGTCGGCATAATGGGCAAATGCGAGTCTCAAATCAACGGAAGAATGCATAAAAAGTAAAACTCACAAAACCTCGCTATGGTAAAACCCAAGATGGGAGAAAAACTCATAGTCTAAGGAGAAAAGTGAGAAGTTGCATTAAGTCAAAACTATACGTCTTTTGGACGCGAGTAGAAGAGCTTTCAAGGGTATGATCAGCCCAGGATTGGTGTCTCGTTAAAACCTAGTTAGGTAGCAAAAACCCAATGGGAAAAATGCTCCTAATCGTAGGGAAAAAAGTACATTAAGATCAAGTGAGTATACTTCTGGATACTCCCCCTGAGTTTGACATAACTTCCAAATGAGAACTACAAGCATTGCATATGAGTAGTTAGGCATACCAATTCCTCGGACAAGCTTCTGGAAGGTTGACTTCAGCAGTGACATCTTGTAGAGATCGGCAAGGTTGTCTGGGATCGGTTTGCATGACTTCAATCTCCTGATGCTTTGCTGATGTAGATGTAGACACAATATGTCTTGGTGTTGACTTCGTTGATGTATCATGGCTTAGTCGAGTTGATACATGTGGCATAATCTTCATGGATCGTTGTTGGGACTCAACGATAGATGAAAATATAGCAAGTACTTCGAATATGCTCAATAAGAACTCCTAACCATGTCTCACTTGTGGCATAGTGAAGTAAGGTGAGTCTTGGAATGATTCGAAGATTTTCGCAACTAGGGTCATATCATGGACCTCCAAGATATTGCGATATCCCTAACGGTAAAGATATAACCATTCGGGGATTTTGCCTTGTGCGGGTTTGATAAGTAACCAGCGTCAGCATAACAAACAAGGCAAGCATCATTTCGAGAATCAAGGGGGTTAGATCCGCTCAAGATGCGTTGGGATTTGCCCACGTAATACCTTCAGGGTACGTCTTTAATACCAATTCAGTGGTTGCGTGTAGGCGCGGTGCTGCATCTTTACCAAGATCAACAGTGAATGAGATGTCCTGTCTAAATACAATAAGCTAAGTACAACAAAGCGCAAAGTTGAACTTTTAGATATGGAATTTCGGATTCCATAGACTCTTCAAGAGTCTCATTTGCATATAACGTATGGACGATCATGGGTATACTCAAAGGTGACACATTCCGGGTATAGTTCAAATGGTACACCAAAATACCGTCAGAACAATGCTTCAACTTCAGGTCCAGGCATAAACGAGTTTTCTCAAGATCCATTATCTCAAATTCCATCTTCTGGTGCGAGGCAGTTTTCTCAAGCTCTTCTAGAGTCTTAGTGAGATTCGTGTTAACGACATAAACTGTAACTCTAGCAATTTGGAATAAGACTTCATAGTTTAACACGCAAGGGCATAATTCATATCCTTGACTGATCAAATAATCACTTAGACGGGTATACCACATCCGTCGGATTTTTCAATCCATAAGTGAACGCCTCAAAACGAGTTAAGAGGGTGTTCCGTGGTTTGGAACTATTTGAACCAGTCCATGTAATTCTTCGGGAACTTACACGTAAATCTCTGTATTTATATCCCCATGGAGAAATACTAACCACATTTCATAATGTTGCTATCAATCACATGACGTTTTGAGAGAAACCTTGCGCCGTAAGGCATGCATCATATCGCACTATTTCATTCATCTCATAACGTTTCCTTTCCCACTTGTAACTCAATAGGGTTACCTTGGGCAGTGTAGGAACGACAGGTCCAATACACACTTTAGTAAGGAATTTGACCTGGATTGTAACTTTAGTTGTCCAATCAGTTCTACATTGTCACTTAATCAACGGAACACGGTTTGATATCGTCGCTTTTCATTTATGTCGGTAGCTACCATATAAGTGAAAACATCATCGATGATAATCTCATTTCAATTCCATTTTCTCATCCAAACTAGTATACTGGACCAAGAACTTCAAGTCTTAGGAGTAATCCGGATTAATCTCATGAGATGGAAATGATTTGAGACAGCGATCGAGTTTAGATTCATTGTTGTGCCGTGTCTTCCTCTTCCAGGGAAGTGAATCCTTCGAACCGAATGATATGTCGTGCTCCAGGCCAAGACATATTGATTGGCTATCCGCTGGTGTACCGGACCGTCCAACAGAGGCGTCCAAACAGTCCAACATGGGCGGCACACCTTCTAGGGATGTTGACTCGACGTCCGTTAAGTGCGTCTATCCTTGCAGGCATGTTTGCAGCTGGTATAGATCTCGTCACTTTAGCTAGATCAGAGGAATGCGTTTGGAGCAACATTCTGAAATCTAGAATTCGTCGCACTTGCTTATCACACTTGTGCGGTATGGGGATCGAGATGAGATATAGTGGGCAACGTCCATGCAAATTCACGTCGTTCTACAAGAACGTTGACGTTCTTATCTCCCCCAAACGGCGGGAACACTGTCTCATTAAAGTGACAACCCGCAAATAAGCGGTAAAGAGATCGTGTGCAAGGGTTCGAAGAGAGTTAGTATGAAGGAGAATCATGATCGACAAAAGATACACATCCTTCTTTGAGGACCCATGGTGGTACCTTGCGGCGGCGCAACTTGGCACATGGAATGCGCACCCAAATGCGTAAATACGAAAGTCGTCAGGTTCGTACCCAATAACCAACTGTAACGTCATATAGGTTGCGTGGAAATGGGCCTCAAGGTGGACCAACATAGCTGCGTGCAAGATTGCATAGCCCTAGGCAAAGACCGAAAACTTGGTACATTTACCAAAATTCGGGCGATCATTTAAATTGCGCTTTATGATCGCTAGGCTAGGCTATTTGGGGTGAACATGGGAATGTGATGTTCAATTAAAAACCCAAAATGACATGCAATACTTATCGAAAATCGTCGATATAAACTCTCTAGCATTATCCAGTCTTCCAGACCTTAAGGGATAAGTAGGGTGGTGAACCCTTAATCGGCCAAGAGGTTTAGCAGTAATGTGTGTGGACAAACATGTGACTAGTTTGTCGATTCATCAACCAAAACCAGAAATATTTATATGGTCCATATTTTGGTTGGATTAGTCCACACATATTCCCTTGAATCCACTGCGAAAATGGAGTCGTGTCGTATCTTTGCAAGAAATGATATAGAAAATCAATTTCCCTAATGAGTAGGATTGGCAAAGTGTGCTTGTAGGCACAAAATCCTTACTTCAGATAAGGAGATGCGTTGTAGCATCATTGTTCGACCTAAGTGTCCCAAAAGGTCGTGCCAAAGCAAGTAAACTGCTCAATCACCAGGCTATAGGCCGGCCACATATGGTGTATTCCCAGTTGGGAGACAACCCATTGGCCCTAAATCAAAGCTTCAGGCTCATTTTTGGAGGTGGTGCAATATTTTACTCTATTTTCTTCAGTGGTTTCATTTATGATCATTGTCATCTCGAATATCCTTAAAAACTCAACGTCAAGAAGAATTTAAGGTCCTTTAAATGATAATTCAGTATCATTCATACAACGAGGAGCATGCCAATGCTCTTAATCAGGTTGCATAGACCTGAAGTCGTTGTTAGAGATGTGATTTAGGTGTAAAGTTAGTGTGCGTAGTACGCATTCATCCAGACAACTAACTTTCCCACATTCCTACCTAATCACATGTTTAATTGAATCGGTCACATGTATTAAGAAACATGATTCAATTAACTTATATTCGAGGAAAATATCAATAAGATTATCCATAAGTAAAACATACACCAAACTTGAATCCAAGAACATGGAAAAATGTTCACAAAGTAAATTTACTAAGGGGATTCGGCCAATAAGGCCATCCATGTCGAAATTTTGCTCTGCCAACGATGTTCGGTGGAGCAAAATCAATCTTACATATTGACTACTAGAATGGTACTCCTCAACAACATTGGTAGGGGCACGAACAGATGCATAACCAATGATCTATTCCATCAAGACGGGAGTAGATTCTTGCAAGGTTGAGGTTCTAGAATATTATCCCTTATTCTTGAAGTTTTAGGTCTTATGTACCAAGGATCATGCTTCGGGCATGATGCCACACCTTGGCAGGCCTTGATTATACTATATGTTTGTGAACACAAACTCGAAATTGTATTGTGAAAGAATATGTCATTCAGTGTATCCCTGCCGAAGCAGTGCATCACCATTTGGTTAGGTTTTGACCGAACTGGGTCGAGCCATTCGGTAGACTCCAGCCGAACTGGGTCCATACCTTTCTCTCACGTTTGTGGTAGTAATCAGATTTGAGAATTTGGTAAATTTCCACTTTCTACACTGCTGCTTCAGGAGCGAGTTAGAAACATGGAATGACGAGAAAAGTATTCTCCAGTCAAGATTCGATCGGATTTATAAAATTCAGAATTGTACTTATTTATGGATGTAATCATGGTTTGCTGCGGGCAATTTCTTTCATGATTAGACGGTCTATAGAAGCAAGCCAAAGAGCCATGGAATCCTCGTTCGAGGAGTATTTCCATTTGTAATGCTTTGAGCATAAGTCTTCGAATGAAGATTATGGTAGAGGCTTATTCAGCTCTTCATTGCCATTGTTGGCATCAATGGTTTCTCAGCTTCTTGATAGTCAAGTGGAGATTCACGTCTTGTACCCCACCTAAAGTGGTTTCTATTAGAAAATGTCCAAATCAGGAAAATCAAACTTGTGACGGTTTGACAATCCACTGAATTTGAGGGAACAAGATTGTGATTGGTGCTATGGGAATGAATCATCCATAAGCATCAAAGTTAGAACATTCGAGTTCTACGACATGGTTTTCATGAAAAACGTCGGGTTTTCATGGGTGTATTGTTTTATGAAATCTTCGGGTTTCAAAGGCACTAAATTTGAAACTACAGGCTCAATTAGTTTATGAATGTTTAGTTCATAAAGGAGAGGTTCCTGCAAGAAACTCAGAATGCAATATACTAACTTAGTGTAGTGGATTTGAGTTGTCTTCGGGAACTCAAGTGTGAGAGCTTTGTTACTACGAAAGTATGTGACGGTTCAAAGAAAAGAAATAAATTATTGAATCGTTAATGTCCAAAAGTGATATTCAGGTCAATAATTTTGGATTCATTATCAGACTAATGAACTGTAGGTCACTTTTAATTAATTCAATAGATCAGGACCATTCGGGGTCGATCGTAGAAGCAAAATAATATTATTGGATCGAAAATAGAGCCCCAAAAATAATTGGGCTTAATGCCGGGGGTTAAAAGGCACGGGTTGGGTGCCTTAAGCATAAGGCGAGGCCCAAATGTTCCTTTGGTGGTGGCTGCAGGCCACGGGTGAGGAATGGGAGACCCTAGCCGCATCTAGGTCGTGTTTTGGGCCACAAGGGAGTGCACGGACAGGTCTAGCGCAAGCTGGCCTGTGGGTTGTCACGGGGATCCCAACGAAGGCTGGTTGCATGAAAGCAGCCCCATAGTGACTGCAGGTCACGGGCTTGGGTATTGGTGGCGCAGTGACAAGCCCAGCATATGCTGGCTATATGTATGCGGGCCAGAGCAACAAAACCCAGCAACCAAAAAGGTTGCAGCGTGTGTATGGGATGACAGCCCAGACAATTGGGTAGGTTGGATGGTTGCAGGCCAAGGCCAGTGTGCATAGGCTCAGGGCAGGTTGGTGATTATTTGCACAATGATGGTGCGGTGGTGTGCCGCACCATGTCCTGATTCCCCCATTTTTTTTTTCAAATCCTTTAGGGTTTAGGAAAACCCGAAACATGCTTCTAATTTAATTGAATACTTTGACTCACAAACTTCACATAGCAATTATTGCGTAATGTATGAAACAAATATATATATTGACCAATATATGAACATATACAATATATATATCGGAAGGTATATATAAATGTAGGGGGTTCATGCATCATGGGGAATGTTTTCATGCTTCATGGGTCGTTTCAAATATCTTCCTTTATTTTAAGCGTACCTGAGTAGCAGAAAACAAAAAAAGCCTTTGAATTTGTAGAAGATCATTCTTGAAAGCCGGAATTCTCCAATGCGTTGTATTACATTCAACACAGAAAAATTAAATTGAATCAATAGCATGTAGATCAATTTAATAAAATAATAAATTAATCATGAAAAGAATGATTAAAACGTAATACTCCCCAAATTGAAGATCAAACTCTCTTGTTAGCGTAACTTCAAGAGCGTGCTGATAACATGTTGTAGGCATAATTTACTGAACAATTATGGAGGCCTTAGAGAGAGAGGGGGTGCGGCAATAGAGAGATGTGTAATTGTGGGTGTGTGTTATTTCACCCCATTGTGCCTTTATTTATAGTAGTAGGAAGGGTAAAACCTTTCCCTTTAGGATTACAACATTTAATAGGTAATCTAATCCTAATAGGAATATAAGATACATTTCCATATTTCCTAGGATTTACACAATCACATTCATATTCTAAATAGGACTGCAACATATACTGTATTATACTAATAATTGTTCGAGTGTCACTTTTAATTCTATTTTCTTTTATAATGTTCTTTTATTTGAATCAATTAATGAGTGTCTTTAATTTAAACATGATTGTGGATGCAAATTTCCGCATTGTTCTTCTTGGACGAAAATGCACCTGCAAAACAATTAACACCTTAGGTCAAGACCAAGAGCCTCACACGCTCACGATGAATGGGGATAGCTTTGCTCAAAGAACCTGCGATGCCAAAGTTAGAATTTGAGGGAAAAGTGTTTAGAGAAATTTGAAGAATTTAGCAAGAGAGTTGAAATTAAGATTTTGGGAGAAATGGGCGTTATTTATAGGGGTGTGGCCGGCCACTTATGGTGTTTTTTGGATGTAATTGCAAGATATTATGTCAAAATAATATCAATTAGACAATTAATTAATTAATTAGAAAATTAATCAATTAATTTAGGTAATTAATCCTATTTTGAATGAATAATTGAAGGTTACCTTGTGGGGAGGATTTGATGAGGATTGATGAAATAGGTTTTGAATAAATACCTATTTTGATCACTTTTGACCTTGATTGAGTCGTGATTGTCCGCTGATTGTGTGTAGGAGTTCCGGTGTGTCTCGAGGGTGATTTTGTCTTTTTTCATCCAAGAATCCACATGTCTCCTCCATATTTTTCTCGATTATTTTTTACTTCACAATGATTTTCTAACATGTATGATTAATTAAATTGTTTCTGTATTTCACTTCATCACACTCACTTTCTTATATTCCAATTATTTAGAATTTATCGAATCTTGATACATGAACTGATGACCAAAAAATTCCAAATTATTTAATTTTTCCAAGACCTTGCCTTGCCTTGCCTTTGGGACCACATGTGCTTGTAAGAATATCTGCTTATGGTGAAGCCCATGATTCATTGTCCAACCACAATTTGCATGATGGCCTCAAAGAACTTGTTTATATATATATATATATATATATATATATATATATATATATATATTAGATCTGCTTCACAAACTTTAACATGATTGTAGAGCCAATCTAACTCTGTTATAGTGCGTTTGTTGCATCGGATTATTTCGAACTGAACTATTTTCAAAGAGCTGAGAAAGCGAGCTAAATAAGACGAAGACAAAGCAGAGCAATGCTCTTAGCAATCCCATACTTCTCAGAGGCCCACGCTAATAACTCCTAGCAAAGGAGTTAGTCGAAATGAGTCCGATGCAGTCCCATTAAATTAATCCCCTACCAAATATGAGACTATACAAATAATTAATGTAGTATAGTCCAATAAAACTTAGGGAGCTCAAACAAACACTCTTTAATAATTGTAGTTTAAGGTTTTAAGCCAGTCAAACAAGCTCATTAATTTGACATACACCAACGCTGCTACTAGGGTTAGATTTCTTTTTTCTTTTTCTTCTGATAATGTATTGTTGGATCTCAATTCCTTGTACCAAAGCAAACATCATACCAAATAACAAGGTGTGAGAGAAAACAAATAATGACAAAGTAACTTTAAAAAAAATAACTTTTATAACATGAGTACATTATCGCCTCATTTTTGTGTCGTCATCATCTTAAGACTAATGTAAACGGTAAGATAACAATACATGCACCGCTAAAGTCATTATCCTTGTTAATTGAATTCACCTTCAATAAAGTAACAGACCAGATTAGATTCCTAATGAAAAGAGAGAGAGAGAGAAGTTTGAAACTAGTGACACTAAAAGTGCAAAAAGCAAGAGATTGAATTTGTGAAACAATAATGATAAATTCCGATCCAGAAATAGTAAAATATCTTGCTGCACTAGTTGTCAATACAAAATTGGGTCAGATGCAACCTCTCTCTCTCTCTCTCTCTCTCTCTCTCAGAAGAAAAAGGGAAAAAAGTTTGAAATTGTAGCAGGAGAGAGAGAAGAGTTCTAGGCCTTGAGAATTGTTGGGTCATCAGCCATCATCTTCCATTTTTTCCCCAAACTAGCAGAGCTCTCTGATCTCACTGCAATGAGCAGCAAATCAAGCTCAGCTGCCAAAGCATCATCAAAGGCGACGACTTGGGTCCTACCCTACAAGACCCAGAACCTCACTGACCTCTACTCTTTGGGGAGGGTTCTTGGACAGGGCCAGTTCGGCACCACCTACCTCTGCACCGAAATCTCCTCCGGACACCCCTACGCCTGCAAGTCCATCCCCAAGCGCAAGCTCCTCTGCCGGGAGGACTACGAGGATGTCTGGCGAGAGATTCAGATCATGCACCACCTCTCCGAGCACCCCCACGTCGTCAGAATCCGCGGCACCTATGAGGACGCCGCCGCCGTTCATTTGGTCATGGAGCTCTGCCGCGGCGGCGAGCTTTTCGATAGGATCGTGAAGAAGGGGCACTACAGCGAGCGGGAGGCGGCGAAGCTGATCAAGACCATTGTTGGGGTTGTGGAGGCTTGTCATTCGCTCGGGGTTATGCATCGGGATTTGAAGCCGGAGAACTTCTTGTTCGACAGCGAGGCAGAAGACGCGGCGCTGAAGGCGACGGACTTCGGTCTCTCTGTATTCTACAAGCCCGGCGAGACTTTTTGTGACGTTGTTGGAAGTCCGTATTACGTTGCCCCTGAGGTGCTGCGGAAGCACTACGGGCCGGAATCGGATGTGTGGAGTGCAGGGGTGATTCTGTACATTTTGCTAAGTGGGGTTCCGCCGTTCTGGGCGGAGACGGAGATTGGGATCTTCCGGCAGATTTTGCAGGGGAAGTTGGATTTTGAGTCCGAGCCGTGGCCTGGGATTTCTGATAGTGCACGTGACCTGCTCGGTAAAATGCTTGAGAGAAACCCTAGGAAAAGGATCACTGCCCATGATGTGCTTTGCCATCCTTGGATCGTAGATGACACGATTGCGCCCGATAAGCCGCTGGACTCGGCTGTTCTGTCGAGGATGAAGAAGTTCTCCGCCATGAACAAGCTCAAGAAAATGGCACTGAGAGTGATCGCGGAGCGGCTGTCGGAGGAGGAGATTGGTGGGCTGAGGGAGCTTTTTAAGATGATTGATGCAGATGGGAGCGGGAGCATCACGTTCGATGAGCTGAAAGAGGGGTTGAGGAAAGTGGGGTCTGAGCTAATGGAATCAGAGATCAAGGATCTCATGGAGGCGGCTGACATTGACAACAGCGGGACGATTGACTACGGCGAGTTTCTGGCGGCGACGGTGCACTTAAACAAGCTGGAGAGGGAGGAGAATCTGCTGTCGGCGTTTTCGTTTTTCGACAAGGACGGAAGCGGGTTCATCACCATTGACGAGCTGAGTCAAGCCTGCAGGGAGTTTGGATTGGGGGAGCTGCATCTGGAGGACATGATCAAGGAGATTGATCAGGATGATGATGGGCAGATAGATTATGGGGAGTTTGCTGCAATGATGAGGAAGGGGAATGGGGGAGGGATTGGGAGGAGAACAATGACAAGGACAATGAATTTGGGGGATGCTTTGGGGCTAGGCGGCCAACTAACCGATTAGAACAAGTTCTACTTCACGTGGAGTTGGTGGTAAACCCTTTTTGTTTTGGTGATTAGAACTGGATGGAGGAAATCTTTTGGGTTAAATCTTAATTGTCATGACTAGCACAAAGAAAATGCTAATCTTGGGTATGGATTCAAGGTTGAAATCTTCTTGTAATGTAAGCAAAAGATGGTGGTTGGAATTGCAATGTTTTCTTGTTTTGTTCAATGTGGATACGAAGAGCAACTTGCTCAGAACAGATTTACGGCCACGTAGCATCTCGGTTCAATAATACACTATCATATAACGAAACTTTTCATTATTAGAGCAATGTTACAAAACCCATTTCTTGTTCTAGCCCAATACCCGACTCTCCACCTTATGTGGCCTTTAGGTCATAGGCCTTTATTTTCTTTTAGCCCAGTAGACTTCTTTCTGTTTTATTGAGTTGTCCTATTAATTTTTTTTTTTTTTTAACAAACGATATTATCTATACTAAGATGAGGGAGTGAACTTAGTCTCATTAAATTTGAATCACAAAACAAACACAAACTTTAATAGAAATTATCTACACTAAGAGGAGGGAGTAAAAACATGACAGATTTGTAACTGACACGCAAATACATAATCTAATTTACAACATCGATGGAGGCAGCAACCTTCTAGATTTATGATTTTTGTTGTTGTAAACTTATTTTGTTTGGGTATTTTTGTTATATTTTCTTTTGAGTTATGCTTGTTTTTGGATTGTCTTTGAGCTTTCTATTTCATTTAATAATTTGTAGTGAATGAAAGTTTCTGGTTTGAAAAAAAAAACGATGACGACGGACATAATTCCCAAAAAATTATCACTAGATTGGATTGGGTACCACTAATTTCATGTTAAGAAATGCTAAGAAGACTCTCAAAAGTGAGACTCTTTATGGCCTACCTCACACGTCACAGTTTAACGTCAATTCTCGTGCTAGCAGTAGAAAACATTATGGTAAAAACATGAAGTTACAAAATCTATGGACAGCCCCAATTTTAAAACAGAATCCTCTCCGAATTTTTTATCGAGGGATCCACATCATCCTGGCCTCGTGCGGCCTAAGATTAAATTTACTTTTTAAAACTTACTTGAAGCAAAACCAGGGGTGATCCACCTTTGTTTTCCTCCTCCTCTTTCTCCCCATATCTCATATCCTGGCAACCGACAAAACTTGAGTTCTTACAGGTCAAAATTTTCACTGATTAAATACTAAATCAACGCCGAATTCTTTCTATTTTTTGGGTCAAAATTCCAAGTTCGAGAAGAGGAGATGGAAGTGTTTTCTACAAGTGATTGAACTAGCAGCTTTGGTAGACCCAAAACGAAAAGGTGAATAGACCTCACCGATCATCGTACATGTGAATTGAATCCACTCGGGATCTTTTTTATGAGGATTTTGGAAATTCTCAAATCGTGTCTATTTATTATATATGGTAAGGTCAGTTTTCGTCAAGTAATATTTATATTTAATTTTAAATAAAAATATTTAAAATAATTTATAACCACACGATATAAATATTTAAAATAATTAACATTATTTAGAATTCTCAAGATCCTCGTAAAAAGAATTCGGAGATTATCCTCATTGGAATTGAATCTCATCGCACATGACAGCTCGTACAAAAATTCTCTAGAAGCTAGAAGACGTATGCCTTTTTACTTTGTCGTGTCATTTGTATCAACCTGTTGTCCAAATTGGACGAGGCATTTTAGCGTGTGCCTACTCCATACTACTAACAAAGGCCATCAAACACATGGTATGCTTGATTCAGTGACACAAGTGTCCATATTTTTCTTTAATTTTACTACTATTAAAGGTTAGAGACAAGAATACGTAACTATTACATTAATTTAAAAAACAGAAAATTTTGAACCTAAGACGCATAGGTAAAAATCAAGGCCGGCCCATGTAGGCAGGGCGACCGTCCAGGGCCCAAAAAAATTGGGAGCTCCAAAATTATTGGGGTGATATATTTATATATGTTTTTATAAGAGTATAAATTCAAAATTTGGTTCAAAGACACAGCATTTAACTAGAAGTGGTAGTTTGTCATTTGAAAATAATGAGGAGGTCTTGGGTTCAAAACACAATGTGTGCTTATTTATTTTCCATTTTTTACAAATTTCTTTTTATAAGAGTATAAATTTATAAAATTTGGTTAAAGGATCCAGAAGTTTAATTAGAAACAATGATTTTTGTTGTTTAAAATTAACAAGAGATCCTAAGTTTGAAATGCTATGTGCATGTTTATTTTTTTTCAATTTTTACAAATTTTTGTTTGGTTGTTAATTTATTTTTAGTTACTATCTAGTAGCTATGTGGGTTGTTATTTTTAAATATTCGTTTTAATTCAAGTCTAATCTTCAACAAAGAATAATACATAGACCAAATTTGCAAATTATATGACATGTCATCAAAATGTTCAATTTAGTGCCTATTCATTAATAATACATATCAATTAAAGACTCGAAAACATCATTATTTTTTAGTCCCATATTGACAAGGTTAGTAAATAAGAAAAAAAATCTCACGATTTTAAATAAAAAAAAATTCACATTTCAAAAACACATTCAAAGTTCAGATGGAAAACAAAATTCATCATCTATCTACTTGTAAGCCCGAAGTTTTTTTGTTTCCCTCTCTCAATACAAAATAAATTAATCTTTCTGTGTTTCTAAATTATTGAGTTTGAAGTGTTTTTCTAAGTATAATTTTTTCGATGTCTTATGTGTGAAAATAAATAATTTTTTTACATGAAGTTAGGGCACTTTTTTTTACGTCGCCCCGTGCCTCAAAAATCTCTGGACCGGCCCTGGTAAAAATTCAACACACTATTCACTAGAATATTGAACTACATGCAATATCACAAGTTCTGTCAAACAATAACTTCATAAGAATAACATTAAAACCTAAATTTAAAGACAAATTAATAGAAATAGATTTAGGGTTGTTTTATTTACACCCCACATTTTGTTGACTACACTCTATATACTTAATAAACCTCACTTTTACTTTTTGAACTAAAATTTATCTTAATACACCCCACATTTTTTTCAATACTACCCTCAACCCCAACATACACAATATAAGACACCTAACGCTCAAACTCTTTGTCAACATCTGGGTTTATGTCAATTGAGTGTTTAGTTTTTTGTCAATTAGGGATTTCAGATGTGTTCCAAAAAAAAAATTAGGGATTTTAGACTTCGTATTTGAAGAAATTGGATCAAAAGCATCGAATGCAAACCAAGTTCTACAAAATTTATCACAGTGATAGAAATATATTGAGCTTTTATATGATGACATAGGTTTACACTCAATCGGTAACTAATCTAACAAAATTTATCGTTTGACAAAAAAAAAAAAACAATGGTTTCCACCAAACATCACATTCTAAAATGTTGCTATCTTTTATCAATTTTCTTTTTTATAGAGAAAAAAAAATGAAACTAGGGAACTTTATGTTGAAAATTGAAAGATTCAAAAAACCAGTTCATGCTTCATATTTCTTTTAGTTGAAAAATATTGAGAGAAGGGGTATTTATTTCAATTTAAAATTTGCAGCCACTCAAGCCAAAGTTATTTTAATTCACTGAAAACTCTCAACTCGATTTTTGTGTTTTCGTTAAGAGCTTGAAGCTTTCTTCAAGGGATGGTAAAGTAAAAACAGTGACTCATAACAATATGATATTTGATAAACGGCCAAGATGAATTGATCTCAGTGTCCTCATAATAAGAATCCCGTAGGCGATCCTGGTCTGTTTTAGTTGACGTCAAAAAGGGCTTCAGAAACAGTGAGAAAGAGAACCTTCTGGATTCACAATCTGCATAAATATCTACCTCCTCTCGCGCACTCTCAACCGTCCATCACGAAAGATCCTCGAAATCGATTAAAATAAAATAAAATAAAAAAACTATTTAAATGGGGCTGGGTTCTGGAGTGTTCTTTTAATTGGGCCTGAGTTTCTATGTGCAGAAGGGCGGAAGCTGCTCATGTTTTCCTCTTCCTTCACTCTTTCCCGTTCGATTAGAGGTTCCGTGCTCCAAATCACAAGGATGTAGTTTTACGTACGACATAAAATCTTTGTGTTTTGTGTTTTGTTCTGGGATTTTGGGTCCTATAATTTGTCGACAAGAAACGAACGAGGAAATTAAGGTTGTTTTTCTTGGGTATTTTTTGGATTTTGTTTGAATTGAAGGAGTTGGAAGGAGGGAGGAGAAATGGCGGATGGGGAAGAGAAAGGCAGTGACTTCTATGCAGTTTTGGGGTTGGAAAAGGAATGCACAGACTCGGAGCTCAGAAATGCCTATAAGAAACTTGCACTGGTTAGAATTTTTTTTTTTTAGACTAAATTTCATCACCATTTTTGCACAATTGAATTTAAACCCCTTTTTTGACAATTCTTTCATTTGGGTCCTTTTAGAATTGAAATTTAGAGGTAAAGTAGAAATCTTTTCCTGAATTGAATTTCTGGGTCTTTGCCAAATCATTGAAAAATGGGACCTTTCTACTATTTGTTGGGGTTGAACATCATTGGGTTCCTTCAAAACGTCTGGGAAATTGGGCTTTCAGGATGTAAATCCCGGAAATGGGTTTTCACTGCATGATCAGAACAGGTTAGAAAGATCGAAAAAGTTTGAAACTTTTCTGGGATTCTTGAGAAATTCAGGGAATTGTGTATTTTTCTTGAGTTTGTTGAATATTTTTGTTGATTTTTTTATATGCTTGCTGGTGTAGAGATGGCACCCGGATCGGTGTTCGGCCTCCGGAAATTCTAAGTTCGTGGAGGAAGCCAAGAAGAAATTCCAGGACATCCAAGAAGCCTATTCTGGTAATTTCAACCTCCGATTCTCATTTAATTATTATTTTTTAATTATTTTTTTAGTAAATTGGTCACGACTCACGAGGGAAGCGTATGGTCTGTTTTTTGTTGAACAGTTTTATCTGACGCGAATAAGAGGTTTCTGTACGATGTTGGAGCCTACGGCAGTGATGATGACGAAAACAATGTAAGCTTTTTTTTTCTTGGGATTTGATTAGGTCTGTATTTTAAATATTTTAACCGTTAGATCTTTGTTTAAAAATATAAAATTTAAAATTTAACGGCTAAAACAATTACGCAGCATCAAGAATTTTTGTTCTTTTCAATTAGTGGACTCTCTATTATTGAATTTACAGCATTATCTACACTTATACTGCTCACTTTTGACCATTTAACCAATCACAGTAGGACTCTATTCCTCATTACACTCAATGCATTTAATTGGGGTGAGCGGAAATTGTATCCCTGTAATCCCTGCGGTTATTACCAAGTTGTATCAAATTTGGTAGTTTATAAACTGCTCCAGTCCCGATGACATTCGCCAATGTTTATTTATTACTTGTATGAAATCCGTCAAATGTAGCCGCCCATCTGATTCACATGTGGACCGATTTAAAATTTGTTATTGGTGCAGGGGATGGGTGAGTTTTTGGACGAGATGGCAATGATGATGCGCCAAACGAAGCCTAATGTATGTACAAATTCACCCTTCTTCCTTTTTAATTTTCGACTTCCTTGCGTTTACTAACATATATATGGTTTAAACACGTTGAAATAGATTAGGGAAAAAATGGGATGCAAAAATTAAAAAAAAGGAAAACTAATAAAAAAAATGCTTGAAAACTTTGAGTTTTAACGAAAATGACAAAATAAAGGGTAAAATGAATAACACTATGATTGATTTTTTTGTGTAAAAATATGATTTTTCGTTAAAACGAATAATATCTGAAGCTTTTCGTTAAAGTTCTAAAAATACAAAAAACCAAAAAACTTAGCACTTTTTGGGAAAACCTTTTGGTTTACTTTAGCTTTCCCTTGAGCCCTCACTTTTGCCAAGACATTCTAGAAAAGCGTGTTGAAGGGCCATTTAGTCCTGTTCAAATGTATAGGTCCAACTACAATTGTAGTAACATCCTGGTGAAGTCTATTCCTGAAGGGCCCATTAGTTAGGGCCTTGAACGCAGGTGGGTGGAGCCTAGTCGCTCACCCTTATGTACTCTAGTTTGAATCTATCTTCTTTTAGTATAGATTAAAATACCAGTCACTGTGGACCCACCAATCCCGTGATGCAGTTTTATTTGTTTAATTGCGATCTAGGGAAGCCCAAGACGAAGGGTAGGCATTGAGGTGCCACTAGCCCACTACTTAGTGATAAATTTATAGTTATAAGAAGTTCATCAGGTGTCACCTGGCATATGACAAGTGTATTGGACTTGTTCTGTGTTCAAATGCTCATATTTTCATGATTGACTAGAAAATATTTGTAATTAGAGGTTGGTTAGTTGTAGAGGTCGCACTTGGTGCGATGGCAAGTGCCTTCGCCCATGAGCGGTAGGTCTCGGGTTCGAGACTTGGGAGCAGCCTCTCCATAAATGGGGGTAAGGCTAGCCGACATTCACCTCTCCCAGACCCTGCGTAAAGCGGGAGCCTTGTGCACTGGGTACGACCTTTTAGAGGTTGGTTAGTTGTAGTTACTAACACGCGTGTGGGCAAGTGTAAGCTGTTGATTTGTATGAGATCTCTGTTAGCTGTAGTCACTTCCAGTTCCGGCAAAGGGCATCGGCCAGTAATATTCGCAAAAACATTAAGGAAGTACACATAAATACAACTTTTTACACTAAAAAGAGGCTAAACAGACAATTTAGGGGCACTAAAATGTGCTCTATTGCCCGTTTAGTGCTCATTCAGTGAGAAATGATAATTTTTTTTTTTCAACATTTGAAAAAAGTTAAATTAATTTGTATTTTCCAAAATATTAAGGACACCCAAAAACGTGGAGTCTAACATTTTTGAAGGGGTATGCGCTAGTCCTATCAGCTATGTTGAATGATTGAGAGCTTGTTTTGTCAAAAGTTTCATATTTTGTTCTTCATCTTTTTCCAGGTTTAATAAAAATTGTGAGCTGAACATTGTGACTAATCATAAATCTATATGGTAATGCAGTGAGAAACTTTAGGAACTTACAGTCTTTTTCAGTTTCTATATGATTGGAAGTTTCTAGAGAAATTTCATCTTGACTAATCATATGATGATGCCGATGATGATATTGTTTCTGAGTACCTACTGACATATGAAGAATGTGTAATTGACAGGAAAATGGGCAGGAGACCTTTGAAGAATTGCAAAATCTCTTTGATGAAATGTTTGAAGGGGATACTGGGAGTTATGGGCCAGTCTCTCACCCTCCTAGTTCCTGTTCTACGTCTTCATATGTGTCCTACTGTGAAAGTTCAAGTTCCAGTACTAAGCGGAATTGCTCTGAAATGAACTATGAGAAGGCGACCTTGGACGATCCTTCTGGCTTCGACACTCAATTTCAGAGCTTTTGTTTTGGGGTCAGTACCCTCCTCTTTATGCTTAGTAACCTGATTTGATCTTAGCGTGCTTTTAATATGAGACCTATAGACGACGGTTCTTTTGATAAGCTAATGAAATCCAGTGTGGAGGATGACGCTCCCTAATCCGTTATCCTTATAAAACGCAAGGCACTGAAATTAAGATATTTTAGTCTTATGTCGAAATCCTAGGTGCTAAAATTAATCTACTTTTCATTTAAGTTGACAAAGGAATCCAATTACTGACCAGAGTTCGAGTCAAATTTGATCGTTATTGAATAAATAATACGACCGAATGGTAGGCTAAAGCGACTTTCGTTCCATCTAGTAGTCTCGGAACTGTGTCTTAACAAGTGCTTAATGTATTATGTGTGCATTGTGAAACTGGTGAAGGTGAAACTGGTGAAGGCATTATCTTCTTAAATAAAATAACATTTGGGGCAAACAAATGTGGACTCTGAACTTAAGCCTTAAGGTATGAAAAAATAAGCATCAAGTGCTCTTTCGGTTTCTTTATATAGTAAATAAATGTATTGTGCTAACTACCTCTTTTTTCCCCTTTTTTTTTCTTCTTTTTGTCACTTGTTGTAATGTACAAGCCTCATATTGTTTGTGATTGGTGCTATGAAGACAGGTGGAAAGCCTTCAAGACATCGGGGAGGGGACGGCAGCAAGAGAAGTGACTCGCGCAGAAGCCACCGGTAATCGAAGGCATGGCAGGAAACAAAAGGTTACATCTGGTAATGATGTTTCTTCAAATGACTACTCTGGTATATCAGCTAGATGAAGTTATTGATCCTGTTACTTAGGGACTTATTTGGGAACTTAATTGGCAAATTTTTAAATCACCCTGGAGAGTGCAGAAGAGTAACACCACCACCACCACGAGGAATTTACTTGTTACTTTAAGGCAGCATTGTAGGGTTTAGCAGGGGGTGGGATGGGTTTAGGGCTTAAGCTTTCATTGTTGCAATTCCTGCCATGCCATACCATTAGTGGTAATGGCATTGTTTCAAAGTCTTCAATTGTAATCTTAGTTACCCATTGATGTTGGGATTTCAGTAGTTCCCTTTTCTTTATTATTTCAAATCGGAAAAATACTTGACTCGTTACATGTAGGATGTAGTTTTTCTCAGATGGACAAATCAGTTTGACATGTGCAGAAGATTTCCTTTTGTTTCGCTTCTACTAATTTATATGTTAGATTGTGATTAGCGACCATAACTGTGATTTGTCTGTCCTAAAAAAGAAGTGGCAAAGTTGGAGTTTGGTTGTTAATCATGGGTAAGGTATAGAGAGTGGAGCCCTACGGGGCACGTGGGTGAAGACCCCACGTGTGTTGCTAGTGACCCCCCTCTTCCTTGCCTAGGAAAAGCCTCGTTCATCTGCTGCTGTTATGCCTTTCGCCTTCAGATGGTGAAAGGCAGGCAAATTGACCCACTAGTCCCGTCCTTTTTTAGACTTATTCGCCAGTTTTATCATCTCCCACGTTATTATATTTGCCTTAGTCGCTGTCAGAATGAATATTCTGACAGATTAAATAAAAGTAACGGATAAAATTAAATAGGAATGTGTAAAATGTTAAAAAGAGCCGGCGTGTGTTTATCTTTTCCGTTATTAAAAATATTCTTAGGACCTCAAAGTCCCATGCAAGTTGCCAAAATGATAATGCAGATCGTTATTGTGGGTCGTCCATCGACAAATGGTGTATCGTTTTCAACAAATTTCCATGGCACTAAGCAAATGTTAATGCACAAGTTGGGCAAAGCGTGTTGAATGGGCAAGTTGGTATGCAAAAAGTGGAAGGAATGTGAAGAAAAAAAACGTCAAAACGATGTTTAGGGACAGAAAAGTCCAGGTATTATAGTACATGTATGGGTGGCAACTAGTTGGCACATATAGAATAATATATCAAAGTCTTCGTTTGCCTAGAAGATGATCGATCTTTAATTTTATTTAATTACCTCCATAATCCCAATTTGCATGACCATAATTAGGGGTGGTTCGGTATAGGATCCCATACCGAAACCCTTGTCCCGATTCCCAAACCAAAAATTTCGGGAATCCCAATTTCAATACCGATCCCAAACCAAATTTTCAGGAATCCCAATTTTCGGGAATCCCGAAATAGTTTCGGGATTTCGGGACAAATCGGGAATCCCGAAATGATTTTGGGCTTTTGGGCTTTTGGGCTTTTGGGCTTTTGGACTAAAATATTATGTTTTTGGGCTAAAATTGAACCTTTTAACACTTTTGGGCTGCAATCTGCTAAGAAACCCATTGCAATATGTGCCAATTGCAAGACTATGTTAATTTAAATGTAGATGCTACAATTGCAAGACTGCCAATCTGGATTCAAATGTAGATGCTACAATTGCAAGACTCTGTCGATTTAAATCATTCATATAGAAATATGTGCAACTATTGAAGCCTTCATTTTCTATGGACTCTGTCGATCTAAATATATATTTAAATTAAATAATATATTATATTTTTCGGTTCGTTTATACCGAAAAACTTGAGACCGATTCCCGTACCGAAATTCGGATCGGTTCGGTATTGGTACCGAATTTTCAGGAATTTCAGTTTGGGATTTTTTCGGTTTGGTTTCGGGAATTTTTCGGTTTGGTTTGGGATTTTTGGGATTTTTTTCCAGCCCTAACCATAATTATAGTATTAGTTGTTTTCGAGGCCAACAACTACTTTTTTCATTTGTTTATGAATCAAGTAGCACATTTTGTATGTTTGAATTCAAAACTTTGGAGAATGTCTAAATAGATTTGCTCCTACACTCATGTTAGTTGTATTTGCATTTGCGATATTTTCATCCATTGATTCTCCTTCTACTCAATTTATGCTAAAAATAAATAAAAGTGTGTAGGAAAGAAAAAATGCGTGTGGAAATCACTTTTCATATTATACTTATTCTTTGGAAAGTACTATGGTCAAAGTTGGATCCTTAAGCAGGAACTAGGAAACTAACAAGATTAGAATTATTGATGTGTGATCTTATAGTAATTGTACTTAGAAGCACAAAATTGATTTGTTGAATGCTATTTAATAAATGATTGTACATATGAGATTCACATGTATCAGAAGGCGTGTCAACAAGGGTTGATTTGCGTGTCTAAATCAAAGAAACTTGTAACTAAGAAGTGAGAGGTTCCTCATGTTCAGCTCTTATAGATGACAATGAGGTCTACTATTTGTGTTGAGTTACATAATGTTGACCTTAAAAACTACTAAGCCTACGTGGCGCGCAAGCGGAGTAACTAAGAGCTAACTATGTCCTTCTGGTGAATGCGGGCGCACCGACTCACCACCGAACTCAATGAATGTGGTGATGGTGTCGAACACGCTGTTGACTTATGTATCCAATCGATCATGACCAAGGAAGGAACACATCTAGGCTTCTGGGTACTAGAACCTGAAGACAAGGTTGCTAGTGAAGTTCAAATAAGGTTTGGTTTTCAATGAGCCGAACACAAAATAACCTAGTACACCTCGCTTTACCGAGAAGGCTAATGAGATGACGACTTTCGATGAGAAAACCAAGCGTTCCTCATTGGCAAAGGCTTGGATAGATAACTAGCTGAATTTGAAGCAGTGTTGTTACTCTCTGAAGATGCTCATTGGTCTCCTGACTCCAGTGTTGTTAATCTAAATTGAAGATGTCACTAGTTGTCAATACATAGTTGTTATTCCAAACTGAAGATGTGATGACGAAGTTAGGAAAGTTAGTGATTTCAGAAAATGAAAGAGGTTGGCGTAGAACGAGATTTTCACAGGGCGTTTGTGAGTTGAGCTGAAGGTCCTTTCTATGTTGCCAAAATCCCATATTTTATAAGAGTATATTTCGTGATGATCAGGTATTTAGAGTTGTAAAATTTTAATAATATTCCAATTCCTTGGCATATTCTCTTAATATACTCACATGTTATCAGCCGAAAGTCTATCACCCATTATATAGTGTGGACCAAACCCCACTCTCTCTACAGTAGCGTATTATGTACCCTTATAGCAAATAAGCAACTTGCTTGCAAGAATGGTATCCTCTGATTGTGGAGCTTCGATCAAATTTAACACACCGGCATATTCACACAAGGGCGAGTGAATGTTATTTCCCTGCTCACTATTTTTGCTACCCATGTTCTCTAAAAAAAATTCACATTCATCGGTGTCCGCGAGGTTTCTAGAAATTTTCTACCACATTTTTCGATGGGTTTAGGTACAGAATTTAGGGAACTTTAACGAAAAGCACCCGGTACTGTTCACTTTAACGAAAAACCACATTTTTACACTAAAAAGTCAATCCTGGTACTATTTACTTTACCCTTTATTTTGTCCTTATCATTAAAACTCAAAGTTTTCAAGCCCTTTTCATTAGTTTTCCTCAGAATTTACTCATGCGATCTCCTCTCCCTACTTCTGTATTTTATTTGAGCGTTTACGAACAAATAAGAGCCCAATATATAAATTAGAGACCGAAAAATAAATGAGAACATTTAGGGAGTGAATGAAGTGAGTATGAACATATTAGGGTTCTTAATACTTGTAAAGGTTAGTTTTGGTGCATTCTCAACTATTTTCTTGGGCTTTACAAAGCAATTCATTGTGCCTTCAATCAAAAAACATTATGATGGGCTTTTAAAGCAGGCCTCCAATGAGTGCCTAATCCAACGTTGTGATGGGTTTTCAGATCAGCCACATTGGGTTGCTTGCCAAACAAAATTTATTGGTAAAAACATTTTTTGATCGCGGAGAGGTAAACCAAAATTCGATAAACCTAAAATTAGATGGGTTTCAATTTGGTTTGGTAAACACAAAATTGGATTGGGCATTATCATAGTCTGAAATATCGATAATATCGACGAAATATTGAGGATATTTCAATTTTTTCGAATCACGGATATTTCGGAACATATCCATGTACATACAAAGGGGATTTGAACCCCTCCCATTTTACTCCTCCAACACCGTAACCACCATATATCACTTATATTTTAATGATAATATGCTAAAATATTTATATTTATATGAGTGGCATGTTAACAATTACATGCAAAACTATTTTGGGGATTTATCATTTGATGAATACTCTTCACAATAAACTTACTCTACACATAGAGATGATGAAGATAGTGAAAGTTTTGAACCTCATAGGAACTTTATGTGGTACTAAATCACTCATGTATCTTACCATGCAATGTATAATATTGTAGTAAATCATTATATATAAATGATTATGGTGTGTTTAATATTTTTTTCATTAATTACTACATATTTTATACACTCACAGTGTTTGTCAGCTCGCTGTATAATCAACTTAAATCAGTTAAATCCATCATGTAATGCATTGCCTTCTAATTTTTTTTTTTTTTTTTTTTTTTGATAAACTAATAGATAATTGACTAAATAAACATTATCCAAAGTTTCAATAAAAATTTCCAAGTTTTTCTTACAATTTCCTTGGTTTTTATTCAATTTTTATTTATATCGATAATATCCCAATATTTTCATTGAAATTTCCATGTTTTTGGACTACCGATATCATCGATATTTAATACCATGGGCATTATTGATTGTTAGGCCTAATTTTTTGAGTTCTCTCAATTCTGGCTCATATTTAAGTGACTTTTTTTTTTTCGAGTTCTTATTTATTTTTATTTAAGTGATTTTGAATGCCAAATTTTGGTGTAAATTTTATGTGAGCTTGAGGGTTTGAATTTAGTGCCAAATTTTTATGTAACTTCAAGATTTAAATTGTATAATAAATATGTTAAGTTTGATTTCGGTATTCAGTTCAGAACATACCAGCACCAGTGGAGAGTATTAGATGAGAGAAAAGATCTTCAATACAAGAAAGTAAAGGGAAAAGGGATTTGGGGTAAAAAAAAAAAAAAAAAACTATGTTTCCTCTTTTTGTAGTCACCACCACTATTGTGAATGTTGAATCAAAATGCTTGTGGTATGTATTTTGATATGAGATACAACTATAGTCGCATGTGTTGATTTATAATCGTTGATGCATGGAAGACTCATAATTCACTAATGTTCATGTCATGATAATATTGATCATGATAAGTACTCAAAAGAGAAGATGGCTACGATCAGAACTAGGATATCTCAGATGGTATCAATCGAATGTGGTTGAATATTAGCATCTTAACGTATCATAAGGGATGA